AAAATGCTAATTCAATCTGTCATTTGACAGTTCCATGGGAACTATAGGTAATGTTGGTCAAATGACAGGGATTTGGGAGTTCTAGTGTTAAGTAATCTGTTTTTCCCCCACAAGATGGCCCATTGGGGCGGCAGTGGTAGAGTGGTTAGGGGAGTCATCCTGGAACCGGAAGGCCGCGGGTTCCATCCCTGTCCAGTCGACTCAGTTGTTGTGTCCTTGGGCAAGACACCTTAACCGCCTTGCCTACTGATGGTGGTCAGAGGGTCCGGTGGCTACATTTGTAGTTTGCCATCATCAGTGTGTGAATGTGCGTGCGCATGGGTGAATGTCTGTAGTGTGAAGCGCTTTGAGTGTCCTGGATGAACAGAAAGGTGCTATATAAGTACAGTCCATTTACCATTTACCATTTACCCATATCTCATGTGAAGTCTCTGACTTTTGTGTTGGCGCCTCCTGGTGGACTATGTGTAAAATGCCAGAATTCATCTGATGCTGCTACAAAGCTCAAAGTTCGAGTTTGCTGATGTATATTTGTTGTCAAAATACCTTTTAGTACATATGTTGTTAAAATAAAATGAACAGTCCAATGTACAGTAATATGTATAAAGACTGCAAAGGCTGAAAAATCTTGAAGACTGTATGAAATTGGAGGTAGTTTGAGGATTACTTTTTTATGCTTTTTAATCTCAAAAAAAGGGGCGTCATATTATACATGAATAAATACGGTACTCTGAGTTCAACACATTGTGCAAGACCTTTGCCAAAAACACATGCATTAACTGTGGCAGTCAACCTTGGCTGTCTGTTAGCTAAATATCTCATGAACCACTGGGTATATTTTAATGACACCTTCATAAAGTAATTACTGAATGAACATCTAGAACTTTTAACTACTTGTGTAACCCTGGTTCTCAGAGTGAGATGTCWAATTATGGGATACTCCTCCCCTGTGTAATCCTCCTTAGCACTAATCTCCTTATGCCAATCCTGATTGGCTGGTGACCTCCCGCCCCCCTTGAAGAAACTATGTTTTTAAGCAATATAAAGAAAAGAAAGCAAATCCATCATTTATATAAGCAAAATGATGCTTTTATGACTGTAAAAATGTTCCCACCACACTGTTAGTTGTTTGGCCCATTGTACTCCTGACGTGCCCAAGACAGAGGGTTCCATGGAGGTGTAGTCATTTGTGTACAAGGAGAGGAGCAATGGGGAGAGTACACAACCCTGCAGGGCACCTGTACTGGTGATCCTGGTTCCTGAGGTAAGCTTCCMGAACCTCTCCTGCTGCTTTAACTATGAGGAAGTTGGTGTTCCACTGGTGGGGGTTGGCACGCTCAGCTGGGTCAGTTTGTTCTGGAGCGATGATGAAGGTGGAGCTGTAGTCCAAGAACAGGATCCTTGCATTTGTTTTTTGATGTTTGAGGTGTTGTAGGGTGACGTGGAGTCCCATGTTCACTGCGTCCTCTGCAGATTTGCTATGACAATATGTGAACCGCAGTGGGTCTAAAGCAGTGGTTCCCAAACTTTTTATCTTATGACCCAAAAAATATCCATGGCAAAAACTTGTGACCGCAAATATTACTGGTCTGAGTACA